ATTATATTAGCACCTATAAGTATAAGTTTTAACGAAAGCATCGTGACTAAATATATGGTCGTAAATTCCTTTTTTAATATTTAATTTTATGTGTAATTGAAATTTGTTTTTTTAGAATTAAATTTGATAAATGCTTTTTTGGCAACTTAAAATGCTTTTTTAAGGATTTATTCTGCTACAAAATCCGAGCCCTACTAATATCATGTATTAGGTGGCAAAATATTTATTATTGGTCTTTTCCTTAGGGGCCCCCGGATCCGGTACTCAAATATACCTACATTTCAATGTTATGTTGAGTTGGTGACTCGACAACAGTAAATTAATGGAAAAATAATTACAAGTTGGTTTTAGGAAGAGAGGTATATTTAATTGTATTTTCCTAGTTCCGGCTCGTATTGAATCGATATCAATAATTCATATCTACATGTGCATAATTATTTACATTACCATTATGACTTCATGATCATAACAACAAATAAAATGTTCTTTTATTAATTATTGTATAGCATAGTATACTTGTCGATTAAAAATAATGTCTACGGCTAAAATTAATTGAAACATATGGCCGGAGTTCGTATACTCTCAAAAGTGAGAGACATTAAAGTAGATATTAAAAAAAATCATCTCTTCTTATCTAAATAAAATGTATTTATTGGATTTGAATTTAATCATCCTTTATCATTATCTGGATATAAAAGTACTTATCTAATCCCAAAACTGGATTTAATGGTTCGGTACTTGGCGTTCCTTGCATTATTTTTCGCAAATTCATTAATTTTATTTTCATTGTAGTCCAGGGTTGAAGCTATGTCTTTTTCGATAGATAATAATATTGCAAGTGAATTGAGCCTTTCTTGAGTCATCGATGTCATCAAATATGATTTGATTAGTTTTAACTTGGAAAAGGATCTTTCTGCACTGGCTACGGTTATTGGAATAATTAGTAATATTCTGTATGATACAGTAGCATTAGGAAATGGATTCTGAAGATCTTATAATATAAATTCTAATACTTATAAATATATTACACACAAAAAAAAGTTATACACCACTGACAATGCATCAAAATAGTATTTACTAAAATGTTATAATTATTATATTTTTATAATATTATCATACATACCTATTAATATTAAGTTATATCAATAGGTGTTAGTACTTACGAAAATAAGGTAGGTACTGATATTCGCTAATTGTTTGAGTATCAAACGCAAAATCAAACGTACCTACCTATTATCAGTTATCACATTTAAACGAAAGCGCGATGTGAAATGAACAACTTCCAAAACGCCTCAAACCAAGTTTTGTACGTGCGGCGTGCCGGTGTATCGCACAATTGCACAATTTATGACGTGAACTTTGGAACAGATAATCGTTACGACAATACGATAACAATAAAATAAACTATTATTGATTGAAGTCGTTTTCGTTGACAAAAATACAATATGATTTTTCTGTCCACTACACTTACATCGTATTTTTATTTTTTTAACTTTCCGGAAAATTATAATATAAATTATTGTATAATTTCACGAGGCACAAAATGTCATACAAAAGCTAAGGCCTAAGGTCGGCACTGGCTCATCCGGCATCCTTAGATGGAATAGACAAATGTACTTTTTTTTAACATCTCTAAGTAATTTTTACCTGATGTATTAAACTATAGTTGGATAAATACAATTATGGAAAGGAATATAGGGTAACAATTAATAATGCAAAAACAACTAGTTAATATAGAAGTTACAGTAATATTATATTCAAATTTATTGACTTTTGTGAATCATAAATTGTACAGAATCTCTTTGTATTCCATGTTATTCTCGATTGGAAAAATAATTATATTGAAAACAAACGTTTGGATACACGATTTTAATTGAAATTAAATTAAAAACCTATTATTTAATTTAATAATCTACCCTCCTGCAGTTCTGTTGAGGGGTTTACCTGTTTTACTATTTTTTTTTCTTTTCCTACCAATGGAACGAAATTTACCATCAGCAACGTCATGCAAGTCTAACATCAGCAAAAACACAAATATAAACAGCATCATTTTATTGATTAGCATTTCGTCGTTGATGTTTTCTTTATCCTTAATTATCTGGTTCGCGTTGAATCCAATGTGGAAGTGCGGAACTCTGACGAACAAGACTACTGCAGTTGTGAGTAAGCAGTTTCAAATTATAATATTATACTATATTATTGGGTAGGTAATTCAAATAGTATGATTCACGATGCCATTACACTGAAACCAAACATTACATAACCAAACATTTAATCATTGTCTGTTTGATTTGTTTAATAAAGGTACATTGTACACATGCCATTTACACACAATTAACATGTTATTTGATTTGAAAACATTATGATAATTTGTTATTTGTACACGCCATATTTTTAAATATTATAGGTACCTAAATAGGCATAACCTAATAATAAACTAAAACTAATTGAATAACTTTTTTTTATTATTATAACCTAATTATGATAAATCTTTTTTTTATTATTTTATGCGCAAGCGAACTGACTGACCAAGATATTGTAATGATTTATTACTATCATTGAAATTTTATGCTTTTTATTATTTTATCATTATTAATAATTACGAACAGCTGTATCCAACAGTTAGGTATAGTTTTGGCGATTTGTTTTCCGGAGATTTTTTTCCCCATATTGCAAAAAATGACTACCGACGAAAGGTTATCAAAAAATGACTGAACATTTAACTATATTTTTATTGATAAATCGGTAAATTAAATCAAATATAACGAGATTAAATCGATTGAGTCGTGTCCTTGAAACACATTATTTACCTAATAAAAAATAAATATTAATCTTTCTAATGGGTACACTGTTTATTAAATAATATTTAAACTAATAAAATACAACTTTTGAATTATTCGATTTTATATAAAGGATTGTTAAGTGATTGAGTAAATTGTTCTGCATAGTGTTAACAATTATAGTTACTCAAAAAAATATATATTATCATTAAATCTTTCATAAAGGGTTCCAAAACTTCAAAATTCTATCATTTTTGATCAGCAGAAAAATTTATTGACGGAATGCGGAATGGACGTTGTTTTAGAAAACCGGGCGACACCCGATATAACACACCTACTAATATAATAATCTAATTTATTAATACATTTGAAAAAATATGTATAGGTACATACATATTTTAAATTTAAATGTATTATATTATATTTTATTTGTACTAGATAGCGAACTCCTGATATCAGTTGAAGCCTGTTGGTCAATATTGGCAAATTATATTATTGTAATGGTACTTTATAGGTTGGATCTTGAACTCTAGACACCCGGGTGCCTGTGTAGGTAAAGCGTACACGGGCACCCATCCATCCGTGTACATTATATATTAATTATATTCGACATTCGGTCAGTTCACAGATTTATATTATATTAAATCCTTGACTTAATATAATATATTATATTATAATTATCTGTGGGTCAGTGTGCAAGCAGTGATGCCCGTATACAATACAAATACTATTGTATGGGTGATAATATTATGATCTGAGCCACGGTTCAAGATTATATAAGAACTAAGATCTAATATATTGTATTTAATACCTTATGTCGAAAAACCCTGATCCAAGCACATGCTCGATTTGAAATTGTTGTCAACGTAAATGATTAGTGATAACTGATTAATCATAATGTCTCATGCCAAAATATTATGTGTATTTTTTCTTGGTTTTTCCGGATTTTTCAATAATAATTAGTTGACGTATCCTACAGATATAGTGATCATCATTTCTCTTCGTTCATTCGTCCGGGCATTATTACTTAAATTGTTTTCCATCCGTTGTTTGGTCTTTTTTCTCACCATCGGAACCGAAATGGCGGGCCAGATTAGCTTTCGTAAATATACCGAGTAAGTCCAATATTATAAGACCTTTTAATTTTTATAAGACTACGCCGTTGAATAACGTCGTGCCAGATGAACAATTTTTTCTGTATTCCGATTTCCGGTGAACTTATACAATTGCTTGCTTGGGGAAATTTTTGCCTGTACTAGTCGATTTACATGTATCTAAATGTCGTAAATGAAACAAAATAATAATTTATATAGTTATTTAGCAATAGTTATATAGTTATTTAGCTATAGTTATTTTAAAATAAAATGCAAATTAAAATTTAAAAAAAATAAAAATTATATTTGCTGTCCCAGATGGCGATACTTGTGCCAAAGATTTGTTTTTTTTTGTAAAGAAAATATTGTGTATGCCATATTTGTACTGTATATTAGTATTAATAGTAGTAAAATATTATGTAATCAATGGCTACTCTATCAATAAATAGAAAAAAAATATTCTGTTTTTGGTAGCTGAGAAAAATACATGTAGATTTGAGCTACACTTAAGTATATTATACAGAGTGATCCAACAAGTATGCTCACCACCCTTTTTTCTTTATTAATGAAGTTTTACAAAATCTGATTTTTGGAATCTTAAAATATACTTAAAGACCATATTTTCACATTCATGAGATTTTTTGTACCACTTAATGAGTATCCTGTGGCGATACAAACCTTTGTTTTTCAAATGGGAACCCTAATTTTTTTGAGAATTTTGATGTATTGAAATCAAAATTCGAACTAGTAGTTTTCTAGTTGTTACACATTTTGTGCTACGGATAATATAGTTTATAATAGGGAAGAAGAATATGCTTATACAGTATTCGTTGTTATCTATAGTCTATACACACAGTATAAAATAATGCGTCATTTTAAATTTATTTAGTCAAACACTTAGGTAAATAGGAAGTAAGGTCCTTCTTGATTTATTTAGTTCTTATTCCATGTGTAGAACTGTGTAAGCATATCCCTATTATGGACTATTATCCTTAGTACAAATTGTCCAATAACTAGGAAATCACTCTTTCAAATTTTGATTTCATTACAGCAGAATTCTCAAAAAAATTATCCTCTAAATAATTTACTGTAAAAAAGTGGGGTTCCCATCTGAAAAACAAAAGTTTGTATTGCCACAGGGCACTCATTAAGTGGTAGAAAAAATCTCAAGAATATGAAAATATGGTCTTTGAGTATATTTAAAGATTCCAAAAATCACTTCATTATTAAAGAAAAAAGGGGGGTGAGCATACTTGTTGGATCATCCTGTACATCCTATAGCAGGGGTCGGGAATCTTTTCGTAAAAAAGAAACATTTTTTCGAAAAATTACAAAACCATGATGTCCAGGGAGCAGCAGAGGTTTGAATAACCTTTTTAGTTGTAGTTGTTAGTATAGACAATATATTATAGAATATTAGAATAAAGATTGTATTATTATTTCATTAAAAAATTGGTAGGCAAATGATACGTCTTAAATTTAAAACATAATATAGAAAAACTTTATTTTATTAATTCATGATTATTATTATTATTATTATTGCTAGTACAAATATAATATTATTTAACTAAATACAATAACACTCAAAACAACGTATCTACTTAATATTAGTGGGAATTTTCCAAAGAGCAGCATTTTCCCGACCCCTGCTCTATAGTATAAGGTTGGCAGAAAGCTACAAACATCCCATAATTCTTAGGGAATCTATTGATATAATTTTTATTGAAAACTGTCTATTAGTAATATTGAGTCATTAGCTAACAGACAGAAAAACATCCATTATTCTATATATTATATGTTTATAATTTTATATATTTAACTCTTATGTGTCTGTTATTTATATTATTATTTTTAATACTAATTCACATTCTTCCGGCTGTTATTGAGTTGATTTAATATCAAACTAGGTATATTGTAATACTTGTATAATTATTGTAGTTTGCTGTATAATGATAAGGATGTATCAAAAAACAATGGAAATTCAACACCAATATATGGGCCTTATGAAAAACTATACCTCAATGATTGGGGTCAATCTGATATACATCATGATATAGTGCAGGTAGTTGATACATATATATTTTTTACTAGACTTCATTGGACCTAATTATTTTTTTTCCTAACTTTTAGTCATCTTATATCTACTTAATTGTATATATTTTATTGTATATAACGGTCTATAATAATTGCTTTGTGTTTTAAGTTATTTACTAATATACCAATACTTATTTATTTTTAGGCCTTTCATAAAATGAATATAATACAAATGAAACCTATACAGCAGAATTCATTTTTATATTTAATGAATCACTATAATACGGCAATGATTGGCTTTTCAAAAGGAAAATCTATTTCTTACTTAGCAAGTATTTGTTCTTCAATTATGAGCAATATTGATGATACAGTGGTATGTTGTAATAAATTAAGAGTTGATTTATGTTAAGAAAATATATTTTATACTACTTTTACTTTTCCATTATTATATAATTTTTTCTAAACTTGGTACAAAATTAATTGAATCAATCTTACCTATTTACAGAAGAGTTTTGTCATCGGACCCAAAGCTATTATACTAAGTAATTCTTTAACATCATGTTCTACATTGGAATATTTATCAAATAAACTTTTCTCTTCAACTATAAAAAAGAATAATGTTGTTGTAGCTTATGAATCTAGTTCAGTACAACACACGATAGTAAGTGAAACACTTAAAAAAAACGTCATATCCCTGCTATTAAAGTGGTTTTAAACAGGCAATTTTAATAAAATATTGAAAAATTACCACTATTGGTTGTTTTGTGATTAAAAGATTATATAAAACAAAAAAACATTTTTGCTCAAAAGTATTAAAATAACTACTCAAGGTACTGAAAAACCAAATTTATAAATAATTTAGATAATGTTATTTTTTGTAAAGTAGTGTTTAATTTAATTTACAATAATCCAAAAATGTAATTGAAGTTTGTAAAGAATAAAAGTAGTTCATTTTTAACTATAAAAGCTACTACACCGCAATTATATCCTTTTGTATCAAATTATAAATTAGGTTTTTAAACTACGATTGTTTATTTGAGTGGTTTGTTTTTGCGCATGAATGTTTTTAATCCATATTTTACAAACAATTTATGAATGCGGGACATTATGAAAATGTTTAAAATGATAAAAAAAAATTGAACTATACACATTTTAGAGTTGTTAATTTTATCTTAATTTATTATTTTTGTAGGCAGCTTTGTGCAATGGATGTGATATTTTAATTGCTACTCCAACAGGTCTCCATAATTTGCTTACCCAAGCAAAAATATTTAATTATTCGAATCTAAGGCATTTTGTTTTTGATAATATAGATCTACTACTGGATAACTATAAAAATCAAGTAATTACACTGTTACATACAATTTTGGATAAAAAATTGAATTTAAAAAACATTTTAGATGCCTCATTTTCTTCAAATTTTAACAAAACTTAAAGAAAAAGAAGAATGCAGTATACAATTGATATCGGCATCAGTCAAATGGAATAAAGATATAGATACATTTTTAAACAAATTGTTTATAAAATGGCAGTATATTTTTGGATCTCCCCTAGAAGCTGCTCGGTATATGAAAATAGGATTTAATGTTGTACAAGTCAAGGATGATAAACTAGAAAAAATATTACGTAAACAAAATTTCTTATAAATATAAACTATTATAATGTGTTAATTATTTTTTTATTCTAAAATTTCAGAGTTTTTAAAAAATAATATTAAATACCGTCGGAGTGTCTTGATTACATCTAATGCTGATGAACTAGGCATAATTTCTAGCTATATTCAGGAACATGATTCTACTATAGAGGTATTGGTACCAAGTCAAATGAGAATTTCTAATGGTAAATTCATTAATAGTAATTCAAGTTTAGTGGTTAATAGGTTACTCCAAATGACTTACTTTTATATAAGGAGTTTTATTTATTTTTAGTTTATGAAATGCAACAATGGAATGCACCATTAGAAAAGAACCAACGTATATTAATTTGTAGTGACCATACAATGATTGATTTTTATGTTGTTGATGCCGATTGTTTAATACATTATGATATTCCCTCTGACAAACACATATTTTCAATGAGATTCAGTGTTTTACAAAATTCTAACAATGTTATTGTAGTGAGTCCCATAAATTAAATTGATTTTTATTTCAAAAAGTTCATAATTTTTGTGTAGGGTAAATTAAATATTTGTTGGTGGTATTAATGGTTTATAGACCCTCAAAAGTATATGGATAAATAAGTGTTTTTTTTTTTTTATTTATAGAATAAAGAATGTTGTACTTATATATTTTTAAGTAACAATACTAAAGACATGTTGCAGTTGCCAAAAGTAGTTGAAATCATGAAAGGTTTTGGTAATGGTGAAGTAGATCCAGTTTTGCTGAAACATGCGAAGGTTTTAAAAACTTAATATAAATCTGAGTTGTACATAATATCATAGTATTGATTTAAACAAGAAGACGTCACATAAAAGTGTGGTATCAAATGTGGGACATAGAAATAACTAGTTATCAAATATTTGTCATAAGTAATTTTAAAATCGATTTATTTAGCTCAAATATTAAAAATATTAATTTTAATTTTCAGACATCTAATATTATTTTTTGTGACTTATATAACACATGTTAACTTTAAAATAATTGATGACAAGTATTAGTAAATTTGTTTTTAGTATGTTCCAAATGTTGATAACAGACAAATCTTGTGATGTACTTTTGATTTGAATAGTCAATCAATATTAATTCAATTTAAAATATTTTTTTAGATTATTAATGACACTCTAGAAAAAGAAAAGAAAAATTGTTTATTCTGCAGTGAAATAAAACAATTTGGTTATTGTTCTAAACCTATGACATGTCAAAGTCGTCACATTTTATTCAAGGAACTTGATGAACCTGGTGTTAACATTCCCAGGTCCAATTTCTATTTCTCTATATTGTCTTTTTATAATTAATAAATATTTATTATTAATTAAATTAAATAATGTACTTTAACTATTTTATTTAATGATTGTTATGTGTTTTTTTTAGATCTGGATTAGCTGTTGTAAAAATTTTAAATGTTTATGATGCGTCTCACATGTCTGCCAAACTTTTGAAACTAAATTGTACAAATATTCTTAATGATGAACAACATTGGTCAAATGTAGTAGACCATTCTGATACCATTAATCATAAGCTCAGTTCATATTTTTCAAAAAAAGATTCTGAGTACATTTTTAATGAGCTTATTTTACATAAATGAAAGAAAATGTTAATATATTTTAAAATCTTTTTAGAATTCTTCATGAAAAACCTAACCCTGGAGACATAGTTGCTGTACAGATGGAATCTAGTACTAGAAAAATAATCGACACTGCCTATTTCAGAGCTCTCGTTATTAATATAGTTGACAAAAATACAACAAATCCTAAAGTGAAGGTTAAACTAATTGATGAAGGATATGTTGAAACTATATCGGTATAATAAATAACATTTATTAATAATTAATTGTTTCTGATGTTAAATTGGTTAATATGTGTTTAGAAATGGAAACTGTTTGTGTTACCTGATATGCTAAAAAGTGTACCTACTACTACTGTGGATATGTTTTTGGCCTCCATAAAACCAATTGGCTTTGATAAAACATGGAGTAACCAAGCTAACCATCATCTTATAAAACATTTAAAAGATGTTAATATTTGCAATAATACAATTATTGTAAAGGTATGATATGATATTATTTAGTACTTATTTGTGTGATGTTCATGTGTTCAAATTATATTTTTCAAGGTTAAAATGGCACTAGGAACTACAATATGGATAAATAAATTATATGAAAAATATTGGGATTCAGATCATAAGAAATATGACTTTGGAGAAATTTTACCTGAGATTTTGTTGAATACAGGCTATGCAGATATGAATTTTGAACACATAGACAATTTAACAGAACTCAGTATTTCAGCTGGTATTTCCAAGCCGTTAAAAATAAAATACAATTTTGAGGATGATAGTAAGTTGAATGAATGATGTTATTGTTCATACTCTTTTTTTTTTTTAACCAATTTCTGTTTTTTTTATTTTAGAAGAATTAAGCATAGAAGAATTTATGTCACTTTATAAATTGCCTGAACCCCAATGGGCTCATCTGGACCAAAGTATCATTTTGGTTTCTGTAGAGTGTTTTATTAGCCCTAAACTTTTTTTTGTTGAAAATACCAAGTATTGTGATAGGTAAATCTGTTTACATACATACTCATATAGAAGGATTACTTTTCTGGATTCTAGGTGTTTGGTAAAAGATTAACTGCTATAAAATGATTTGATTTTTATTTCCCTTAAAAAATATTTTAAGATTGAGTTAATAATGTGTTCTAATTAAACATTGATTTTCAACCTTTTTAAAGTGTTAATCCTTAAATTAGATATTAAATTTTAGATTCTGAGCAACAAATGTATTGGTTTTATAATCATAGTTTTTTTGTGACTCATATGTTTAATAATAATTGTAGAAAAAATAAATTATATTACAAAATGTTTTACTCAAAATCATTTTTTGGCAAAATCAAAATACATAAGTCTAGTCACTAGTAGCTAGTAATATTTATGAAATAATATAGTATACAAAATAAAAGTTCTAACAGGATTTTAAAAAGATTTTTAATGTTATTGCTATGTACCATTAAAATATAAATTTATGATACTTAGAAGAAAGCTAAATATTATTATTGTAATGACTGCCATTTATATACTTAATTATTATTTTTTTTAAATACAACTTATCTATAAATTAATGTGCAATATTTTAGTATAATATATGTTTTAGAGTCAACGATCTTCAACTAATGATTGATAAATATATTGAAGAAAAACAGTTAGCAAAATTAAAACATGTTATTAATGGAGCAATTTGTTTAGCTAAACATCCACATACAAATAAGTAAGAATTATTTAAGTGTGTAAATAATATTATATAGTTTTTGAACTTTTGTGTCATAGGTATAGCCGCGTCAAAATTATTGAAAAATCTGGTAGTGGAGTTGTTGAAGTTTTGTTTGTGGACAAAGCTGAATTTCTTAATGTTAAATTACACTTACTGCTTACAATACATCCAGAACTAATCACTTACTTACCATTCCAAGTAAATATTAATAATGTTTTAGTTAAATAACGAGTAATTCATTTAATGTAAGTGTAAATGTATATGTATAATGATGCTTTTAATGACCAGAAAGTATTTATAAAAAAATTTTTAGAAACATAAATACTTATTAAAATAATAAAAGTTCAATGATACAAGAATCACACAGTATGCATGATAAATACATACTTATAATATTATTTTATTTAATTTCCAGGCGATTGAATGCAGTTTAAGTGGTGTTAAAGATACATTACCTACAAGCTGTGAGCTGGATGAACTAGTTGACTATTTATTTGATATGACTCAATATCCATTGTATTTAAAAGTTAGTTAACAATATTATTCAAAATTTATTGTAAAAACTTATTCTTTATATTTTAGGTTATTGACACTATTTCATCAACAACATACACTGGTGGTAGTCACTATGAAGTTATTTTATATGATGCAGATATTACTGTTAATTTAGAATTTCAGACAAAATTCAGTCAATACTGCGACGATCTCCAAATGTCTAAATTGTTAAATTTATTAAATGCTGAATATAGTGAAGATAATTGTGTAGAAGATGATAAAAATATTCCATATGTTTTTGATGAAAAAAAATTTGAAATTGAAGATATGAATTCTGATGAATTGAAAATTCAACAAGAATTTTTTGATGAATTTGCAACTTCCGTTTTTGGAGAAGTAACCATAATTTATAGAATTTAAAATTATTAATTTTTTAGAAGACATCTTACAAGTTTGTAGCATAGTACATTTGTGTTTGAACTACTGATTCTTAGCTCTGTTAGTATTAATATTAGAGAGAATTGACCTATTGTGTATATCATTGTGATTAGTTGTAGTTGTTAGGTGTCTTTTCATCTTAAAATGTTGAAGTAACTTACAAACATTTTAAAATGTTAATATTTTAGAAATGATATGACTAGCTTCAAAAGTTCAAACATAAAATATCCAATAAAAAACTCCAAAGAAACCCATGTAAAATGTTTATAGTTTAAAATTTGATAGAAAATGATTTTATTCTAATGAACTAACAAAGTCAAGTATAAATGTGCCATATTATGCTCTTGTAAAACAGACAATAAATGTGGGTGAGATGTCCCCCTCTTAAAATAAGATTACATTTAATGATTAGAGCTCTCGACACTGCAATAGTATTCTATATATTATACAATATTATATACTTTTATTGGTATGATTGCCAATTCTTAAGTTTTGCAATGTTGGAATTATTATAATTTTATTTTTTCTTAAAAAAAATGTACGAATTTGGAAAACAGTAAATTAATAATATATTATCATTAGTCAATTTCAATGAATTTTTAAAATTAAAGAGAATATGCTTTTTAGGATTATGCAAATATTTTTAAACCTACAGACCAATATATTGAGGATGTTAAGAAAGAAGATTCCTTAACAATCACCGATATAACACCGGTATCCGAAAGTGTATCTCTTAAAGATCGCGTTGCTGTTGAACCAATTAAAACTGAAGAAATAAGACCTATTAATGATGCAGCTATGCTTAAAGATATGCCTGTGCTAAATAATTGCAAAAAAAAACTAAGGGAAAAACGACGAAACATTTGCTTAACATGCAATACCAATATACAATCGATTATTCCTATGTGTACTTGGCATCAAGATAGAAATAATATTTATTTAAAACTTAATATTCTTGAAATAGATAATTTCAATGTTGAAAGTACATTGGAGAGTATTAAGTTTAAGTAAGATTTTTTTTTATATGCAAAAAAAGTATGCATTTTTATATTAAACTACATGTTTTATTTGCAGATCTCAATTTAAACATTTTTCATATGAGTTTTCTGTTAAACCCTATGGTTTTATTATTGATAAAAGTATAACACATAGACATAATTATGAAGGATTCCATATCAAAGCTGAAAAATTGTTCAAAACAGGTATATATAACGTTATCTACTGATTAGTGTTGACTTGATTCAGGCCCTTTCAAAAAAAACTTCATAATACTCATTTGTGTGTGTATAATGATATGATACAGTGACAGCTCTGCACAACTTTCACATCATTATAGTTAATAAAAAAAAACAACAATTTTTTTAAAAACTTCTCTTATCTTTTAACTGTGGGATACAACTCACTTTTTTGTATAATGTACCTAAAGAAATTGATCAGTTCAAATGCTGGACATATTTATACATTTTATTATATTATTTACCTCGGTAATTTAATAATTATTATGCCCATACAACAATTTGAAAATAATATAACTATAAGTCTTCTTCACGCATTTTTCAAGCGTGTTCACTTTTCATAGTTAAAATTAGAGAAAGAAAGATCAATTTAGTGAAATGTAGCTGAAAATAATTTATTTGTTGTTATTATAGAATATTTTCTGTTTTAAAAATGCAACAAGTTGTAATTGTTCTGTATAGTGTATACTACCTAGTCAGAAGTCTTATTTATTAGTAGGTACATATTTCTCAAATCCATATTGTACATTTTTGATTTCCGACTACACACTACATCTAGGTCCACTAAAAAATATGAGCTTGGCTATAACTATAAATGTGTATCAAACCACACTGTTTAGTCAAATTTAGTGATAAATTAAACTTTGACAAAATCACTTTATACCCAAATTTGCTCTTACTAATATGCCTTATAAAATGTCTACTAAATAGCCAGTACTTTGTATTATTGTTATTAGAATTATTTTTATAAATAACAACTTTGATGCTTTTAATAATACCGTTTGTACTTTAATTTGACTTGGTTGTAAACTACTAAAGTTTGACAAAAACAATTAACTGCAGTATTGGCATTTTCACAGATTACAAATGGCCACAGTTATTTTTATGTAGTAAACACCATACATATGTAAAATATGATACAGAACACATAGATACAAAAAACATTTCCTTCTGGTTAAAAGGTATTATTATTATTATGAATATCTTTGATAATTAGGTTCGAACGATTATACAAATTCTGTATGATTCACCATGCATGCTGGCTACCATTTTCCTAATGCCTCTACTCTATTCAGAATGAGATTGCCCACTTTCGCTCCTGCACACTGAGTCGCCAGAACAGTTAGACCCCTTTGAGCGGTGTCAGGTGCTCTGCTATTGGTTACCAGTCATGGGCATCCAATGTTATTTGTCTTTTGCCATGACAATGGTAAATAGCAGGGGCTACTCATGGCCGACCAGTTCTTGCCAGTTGAGTGTTCAATCTCTATCTGAATGGAGTACACTACTATAATACTATATTCACATTCTGATTTTTGAAATATTTAAGAACCTGTAAATTACCTTATTTTTAAAAACTTAGATTTTGTATACCACTTAAGAAGTTTCCCATGGGAATTCTAACTTCTTTTTAGCAAATATGTTTTTAGATTATATCCAAATTTTTAATTTTTTTTCAGACAAATTTATTAAATTTTCTATGGCAACCAAACAATAACAAAGATGAATTCATAAGCTTATAATTTTGTGTTATAGTACATAGATTGCCTTTCGCAATCTATGGTTTATTCAAATACGTTACTATTGAAACCTCATTATTAATCATAATTACTAATTGTAAAAAGATATAAATTATCATCATCATGCAAAAAAGTTACCAACTGTACATTTTTGTAATAATTATCTTACAATGTTTTTTTATACAGTGGAGAAAATATCAAGTATCACACTGCTTTGTGTATTTATTTAGTTGATGAAAATTACAATATTCTTGTAAATTATTAAGTATTGAGGTTTAGATTAGTTATACATTTTGAAATATGTACATAATTTTATCCACATCGACATTTAAATTGGTTTGGGAAATATTGAGTTTGTGGTGATTTGAAAATTATATTAGTTACTTATTACTAATTAATATCATTAATAATAATAATGATAGTATCTTTTTATAGTTTTATAAAACCGTTTGGACATCTGCCCTCATCATATTTTAATAACCCAGATACTACTCATTTGACTCTTGGTATTATAGATAAGTCAACATTTAAAAAAAAAAAAAAGATTGTACCACAACAGGACACTTCTTAAATGGTGTAAAATTTGGTTATTAAGTATACTGAAAAATTTCGAAAATCAGAATTTGAATAAATGTATTATTAACAGCAAATATGGAGTAGATCACCCTGGTTAGTTTTATCTATTTTGTTCTTACAGACATGAACAGGTTCAAATTTTTAGCCAAAGGTACCCATCTGAACTCAATGAATAATGAATGTTCCAGTAGTGATAGCTGTGATAACAGTGAAAGTGAAGCACACAATGACTTTGATGATTCCATCATATTATAATATGTACTTATGTTTTTAAGTTTTATTATTAATAGTATTCTGTTTTATTTAAAAGTTAACCAGTTTTTAAGTTATTTTAATATTGTTCTTCGGAGTTGACCAGTATTCATACCTATTGTTTTTATTATTAAATTCACTAAATTTATATTATTTATCAATCATTTTTTGTTTTTGTATATTTATAAGTTATGATTAATTTTAACCTTTGTTTTCTGAGTTGCAGTCATTTTCAATAATTACAGGAAGTTAGTGCCGTGATAGCTATTTGGTGTATTAGGCGTAAACATTTGCAAATGCTTCTTTTCATATAGGAGAACCCCCCCCCCCCTATACCTAAAAACATGATTTTTTTTTTTTTTTATTGAACTTAAGCCTCGGCAACTGAGGCCATTAGCTGTAGTAGGATTTGTATTGTAGTTTGTATTGTATATTTTTTTGGAACGGTAGGGGGGAACACGTGTGTGTTTGTTTTTGGCAGAATTTCGAATGGGGCACCCGTAGGTTTCTGCCATGCCCCGGGGGTGGGGGATGGCAGCACTTGTTCTCCGGTCACCGCGACTTGTCCGGAGAAAAATGCCGCCCGGTAGCCGAGGATCGAACCGCGACTGGCTGCGTCGCAGCGGACACGTCAGACCACTCGGTCACCTCATCCCCCAACATGATTCTATTTTGTTTGTTCCATTAAAAATAACTTATATAATTAACTCCCCCAACATTATTTTCCTAACCATGGCAAAACTTATTTCCATCTATAAATTAACTGATTTTATTATCATACTTTACAATAATTACATAATTACATACAAACAATAAACATTAACATTGGTTGTAAAATACAGGTAAATAAGTAATCAGTACTAAAACTGATTATTTGATTTAGATAAACATAGTGTCGCTATCTGAAATAGAATTTTTAATTGATGCCATTTTAAGTGTATCGGTTAGTGTAACTGATGATTCAGTATCAATGGATCCAACAGAATCTATATTAGCCACAAAATCTTGATTATCTAGATTGCCTTCCAAAATATTTCTGAGTGCAAATAAGCTCCATTCTCGCATCACTGAAACAATATGATTCACTATAAGTATCAGTATAAAATAAAACTTCCTTCAATTGCCTAGCATTGAGCATATTAATACATGGAACTTACAGGGATTTTTGGCATCAAATGAACAACACTCCAACAGTATGGGAATAATATTGTCAGTACGCATCTGTAAAAATAAGTTCTTTTATTAAGTATGAATTTATATGTTAAAGTTATTACGACTCTAACTACAATATGATGTACTTACTAGGTGTTGATGTTCTTGGTGGTTATAACACATATTTGCTATCAATCGTATTAGATCCGATTTGAACCAAAATCTATTATGCGTTTGTATATCTGAATCAAACAGGGCTGACAGATCTTTCACACGACTAAATTCATTGTCTGAACCATCATTATCCTTGGCATGCTTGTGTATGAATACCAACAAATCTAAGGTAGTGCAATGTTCATTATTCATCAATCGTACATTATAACAAACCATGTTTTATCATAATGAAACAAATTTTATACCCATAATTTTTTTTAATAGAGTTGTGTCTTGTTTGATTTCTGCATTAAATTTGTCTATATTTGAAGCCTTAGCGAGAACATTCACTACATGACTAGTTACTTTATCTAAGGCACAATTAATAAAAAAATTGTTTTTTATTACAACAATGACTTCTAAAGACACTTCCTCATTATAATGGTCAAGCCAAATGGAGATAATGTTCATTAACTGATCTTTAGAAGTACCAGGAAGATTTTCATAGACCAATAAAAAATCTTTTGAACTTGAGAAAATTGAATCTAAAAATATTTTACTAAAAAAAAAATTTTTTAATATAGTATTTCCTCAATAATCAATACATATTTAACAGATGTCTACTCCTTTTCAAGTGAAAACGCATCGCACAAGCATCAGAAGCGAAATAACAAGCTCTTACTTCAAAATAAGTAATTGCGACTACAACAGTCGGGAGTGGGAAGGATGTGGCAGTCTCGACTGATTTTCATATGATGCCGGGTGTGTACTCATTTGAAAAAGAGTATGATAATAATTTTAGTGGAATGTTATTATAATAACATTAAAATATAATTAAACATTTTTGTTTGGCAGTGAGAAAGTAATATAAAGGTTTTTTTGAAAAATTGCAAATTATTAGATGTTTTGTACTATGAAATAATGGTATTCTATTCTTATATATATTCTATTTTTCACCTATATTCTATTTCATTTTGAGTCCAATGAATCATAATCTGTTGAACTATATTAACATCTTTTAAGATCTCGTCTCTGAAGTTGACATCACACAAGCACAGGTTGTACAACAGCATCATCGAATTGTTTAATAGTTTGGAATCCTCAGAAGATACAATAAAATGTCTAAAAACAATAATACAAATATTTAGTTATCTAATGCGAATGATATATTATGTTTAAATAATGAATCAATGTATTGACTAATGTGTTTGAGTGATGTACACTCTCATAGTGTACATTACGTACCATTAACTATTAATTATGGTATGCAGTTGTAGATAGAACTATGTACCTTAACGTGCTACAGAAACCTTCAAATATCTGGCGTTGAGCGGTCTCATTGCCCACAGAGAAGTTAGCCAAAAACTGTAGCAATACACTGCGACTCAACGGATCATTGGTAAAAAAAGTGTCACAGTACCAAGAACAGGTTTCAATCAGTCCTGAATTCAACAGTCGACATTTGCCGTTGTCGTTGAGCCGGGGCGAGTTGTTCCGAAGCCAACGGAATGTATCCGTCACACTTTTTATTTCATCAGCGTCCGACCATCCAGACAGTCTTCTGGTTTTCAAGCCCATTAGGTGGCACACAAACTCTTGTACATCATCATTCGGTTGACCTGTAGTTGACGTCATATTGTTTTGCCTTTAAAGACACAAACGGATAGTATTATAAATTAATAAATGATAAAAATATTGAAGTTATTCGAGAAGTAATGACGATTAAGAGGATTGTAAACGGTCAGTTATTACTTATTTCAATCACAATGTGCCAATGTTTTGTCAATCACACCGATGGACCTTACAACGTGATAAGACTTCTTAAAACTGAATTGAATTCGTTGATATGTCTACTTGTTGAGATCGATCAAGTCAGTTTTTTAAAACTGTTCTTAAGCTCCTAGAAATTTTTGTACATTAAAGTGTTTGGGGAATTTTAAACGTTGATTATTCGAAATTTAAATTAAATATCAAAAAAGTTAAAATGTGATTTGCACAATATTTTGTAATTTGATCATCACATAATGACTATAGAGTATTCAGTATTGAACTATTTGCACTATTTCAATTTTCAAAAACGATTTACGATTATATTATTATCAATACACCTTGGCACCTTGCCCAGTAACACGTTTGAACTAGTCGCAACAAGTTAGTACTTAGGTTAAGTTTTTAGTTTTTTACCATGAATTAAGATAGTACCAATATCAAAGATTATATTATTCTGTGATAACACTGATAATTATTAAATAATAATTAATAATATTATGGATAAAATAAAATATAATATGGTTGTAGTACTTAGATCATAATTAATAATTATATAACTATTCATTACACAATATTGTACCTATATTAGGATATTATTATGATCTAAGTCTTAAGATGTGTGTGGTACTCATAGATAACAAATTTATAAATAAGTATTACTGCTACTGATGATTACAGATGTTTAAATGTTATTTAATTTTTACTTAAACGTTTATATCTATTATCTAAATAAATAACATTTCCTATACTCCTATCTTTATTTTATGCAATTCTTAGTTATTTTTTTAATGATTTTATTATTTGTGATTATACTGATTATCAATGTCCGGTAGTCGTTACTCGTTACTCGCTACTTGTCTTGCTCAGTCGTTCGCTCGCTGGTGTCCTCACCTTCACTGTTCACTAATCACTGGTCAATGATTATCACATTTACAATATATTAAATGAATGATAATATTATTACCACACATCATTTAAATTTTACTAGTTTAGCAACTTCTATGAATGTATTACTATGTAATTGTTTACGTATTGGATGACACAAATGTCGAATAATCAAATTTGAGAGGATTGTCAAAAGTGGACACACAAACTTTCTTGCCGGAGCAATAGTCACTGCCGTTCGTTTTGTCCCAAAAATGTCGCAACGCATCTTAGATTTATCAGCATTGCCATTAGATATCGCGGATCCTTTTTATTGTCACTCGTTCCCGTCCTACTCTAGAAAACTGGGTACTGACAAAGAATTCCTGAGGATTCGCTTCGCCCAAACTATGAATTTAATCGCAAGGAATGAGGTCGCTGATTCAGATCATATAATCAATGGAGTAATTTTAATCCCTGTGAAACAGATTTCAGTTGGTAGGTATACCCATTTAATGTTTTGTTTTCTGCCCCATTTAGACTTACGCCAGCACTTTCGATCAGAAGTTTACACTACTAATAGAAGCTAGCTTGAACAGCCAACTAAAAATTGTGAAGGAACTGTTCCGCAGATTTAATGTCGCAGTGGACAACACAGGAGATGTAGTACAATTTGGTTCACTTATCAAAGGAGCAACTGCGCTTTGGTGTGCTGCTGGTCAGTATATTATTTTATCCGTTAACATTTATGTTCATTATTAAATAGAAATTGAACATTAATTATTAGAAAGGTAATCAAGACCTCAATTTCTCCCTTACCAGATTGAACATACTATGTAAAGTTTGTTCCTTACTCTAAACGTTTAGAAGTTAATATCATATTAACCGTAATTATAATTATTGTGTTCTATATAATATTTGTTTTTATTTGTATAAAATTAATCATTTATAGTTTTTGATTAGTCTAAGTAAAATAGTTAATTAAATACGTTTTACGATCATCCAACTTATTACTTGCTCATTGATATTTTTGAATTTCTAGGATCTGGGGCCATGGAAATTGTCAAAATTCTTGTTGAGAATGGTGCAAATGTTAACTTTCTTACTGAAACTAAGTCATCTCCATTACGAGCTGCCTGTTATTTAGGACATCTAAATATTGTTGAATATTTGGTTGAACATGGAGCAAATGTTAATTTAACCAATATATATAATAGTACATGTCTTATGATTGCTTCTCATAATAGTAAGTACATATATAATTATATTGTTAAATTTCAGAATACAAATATATGAATATGAAACATCTTTTAATTTATCATTTAAATTGTATGGATTTTTAAGAAACGATTTTTGGAAAACTCAAGAACGCAAAAAAAAATCTCATGATGTCTAATAATAATAACTAAAACATTATAATTTATATAATTGGCCCGTATGAGATCTATTGTCAATTTTTCAATATTTATTTGGAACTAAAAGACTCATTCTAATTTTATACTACAATTGCTTATAAATGATTTTCTATACTTATCAATACTCACCATTATTTATTTAATTAGTAAAATATCATTTTTATCCTAGATCACAAAGATGTAGTTGAATATTTATTGAGAAAGGGAGCTGATATTAATGTACAAACTAAATGTGGATCTACAGCCATGCATTTTGCTGCACAAGCCGATAATTTGGAAATTGCTAAACTACTCATAGAATTTAATGCTCAACAACTGAAAAATCAGCAATGTGTGTACATGTTTTGATTTTTTAAATTAACAATTTAAATGAATTGTCATTATTTTTCTAGCTTTGACTCCAATTTTGGTGGCAGCAGAAAGAACACATCATAATTTTGTATATTGTCTCATTGATGAGATGAGCCAATTAAATTTGACACGGGAAGAGAAGATTGACGCTGAAGAGTTATTAGGTGCTTCATTTTTGAATGATAAAGATCATTATGACTTTCAACGGGGATATAATATTCTAGTTCAAGCGATGAAAAAGCGGTATGCTATGTAGTTTATGTATCATAATATAATTTAATGATACTAACAATTTTCTATGTATGGATTAATAATTCAACGATGTTTAATAACTGTTTTGTTTTGTTTTATTTTTAATTGTACCCATTTAATGAAATCTAAAGAAGTACAAATTGTTTATAATTATATTGGTTAAGGTTACATAGACACTTTAACTTTTGTAAGTATGTATAATGGGCAAAATTATCCCAGTTTCTGTGGGTCATTGAATATTATTAAAAAAAAAATATTATGTATCTTATTGTAAATATTAAACAAATAAGAAAAAATTATATTTAATTTTAGGTACGAGAAGCATCCAATTATAAATAAAAAAGTAAACAAAACAGTCGAATGTTACAATTACAAAGTTGAATGTCAAACTGTACAAGAATTATTGGATATAAAAGACAACGCTGAAGCCATACATTTTGAATCACTGATAATTAGGTATGTATTATTTATTTAAAATAATTTGGTATTTATTATTCACATTCCATTTTGTTATCTTCATAACGGACCATAGAAGAAGTAAGTAAAACGGCTAAGAGAAAATAACAAGTTGGCAGCAGAGTTTCGAAAAAGAGGAAGGTTGACTCAAGTGGCAACTCCAATATAAAGAATAATAAGATTATAGATAACTGTGTGATTGGCATTGCCATTGTGGTTGTTGTCAACATCCTATGCATTTTTGAGAACATTGAGATCGGCCACTAAATTATATTTGTTATCATCAAAAAAACTGTGTAGTTGAAAGATATTATCTAGATGTTTTAATGCGGGGTTGAACATTTGACCAGAGTTTGAGTGTTTTAATGTTCATTGTTGATGAGTGCCTTGATGCCAGTCCAGTAATTTGAGTGTTGTTGTTTATAAGAGGATTAATGGTAATGAAACTTATTTAAATAGACTTGTAGGTGGTGTTAACAACAACACTGTAACTTTCACACCATTCAGAACTTATGAGATAGATATTTGGCATGGAAAAATGTTGACCAGGCAAAAACCACAGGAGACACTGTACTCAAAAAATAGATGATAGGTCCACAATAATCAGGTGAAAGCTTCTCACATTCTACTGAAGTATTATAAAATTGAATCAACTAAAGAGTATTATTGAACCATGATTTTAATATTTTATTGAGATTAAGGTATTATTTGCTGTAACTTTCAAATTTTCAATGTTTTTTTTTCCGGTTGAATAATTCCAATGTCTTCAGTAAAAGTAGGGGACCAAACCGGGTGTTTAAAGTTTCCATTAATCTAACTGTTTGTAATATATTAGTAAGATAATATGACTTAGTTATTTATAATACCTCCTCCATAATTTGGTAATTAGTTTGATAAGTACTACTTCATTATTGACACTATTAAATGCCGTTTTATTTATAAGATAGTAAATATATTATTTAGCTACATACTATAATAAAGAAAACAGCAATGTAACAAACAAATGAAAATAAATAAAGATTATTTAACATACAATTATTTCTTATGTTTATTATTTTAGAGAACGGATTTTAGGAGAAAACAATCCAGATTTATTGCAATCACTCATATATCGTGGTGCTGTTTATGCAGATGCACAAAATTTTACACCATGTGTACTTCTTTGGAATCATGCCTTAAAAATAGCTAATCATAATAAACATAGAGTCCATATTGATCTATTGCGATTCACACAGGTAACATTTTATACTTCAGAAATCAAAAATGTACACTAGAATTTTATCTATTTTAAAACATTATCAATTATACATATTATTATATTATATTGTTTCACACAATAATAATGTCAATCAGGATGTTATTAATAACTTTTTAATATTTCTTTTATTAGGCTGGTTCTTTTAAAGTTGTATGTTCGTATTTTATTTTTATTTTTATGACTTAAAAATTGAATATTATATTAATTACCCACTTTCATATTTAAACAAAATTACTTTTGATACCAATTATATTATTAGACTTCAAGACTTAAAAGTTTATATTAAGATTTACTCATTTGCATTATAAATAATATGATGCATTCAATTTTTTTTTTTTAATTTTAACAAGTTGTAGCAGCCAACTCAACTTGTAGTGTGCCAAGCTTTTATAAAATTACGTGGCATATTTGCCCATATGCAGAAACAGTCTCGACATCATAGTAATAACATTTAGTTTTTATACAATAAATCGCAATCTGTTATATTATTACTTTTCTAGAACCACCCTAGGCTTCTTAATTAGTATATTTTACCCCAAGTAACAAAAACAAAAATATGTGTGTGATCCAGTAATAATAATAAAAAAAAAAAACTAAGAATGTCTGAGCTACAGTATCCTGTAAAATATTTGTATTGGATGATGTATGTAGAAATGTAGAATACTTGTCTTCTCTTCACTCACTATTGATTTTCATGATAATTGCTTGTTTGTCATAAATTAGAAACCGATGATGGGTATCAATTTTAATTTAAAACAGTTCGTATGGGTAGTAGATTATATATTAATTTTATGAAATAGTATGGTAAGATGTTTTTCTAAGTAGGAAGTTGGAAGTAAGTACTTACTTACTTATTAAAAAATTTTGAGTAATCTATATTAAAATAAAGTCTTTAAATTTAAATACTCATTAATCAAATCTTTATTTGTATGAAGTATTATGAAAATAAATTTATATACAATTTTAATTTTTACCTTTGTAAAAATACTTTGGTAAATGATTTTTAACTATAAGTAGAATAACATATTAATCAAAAAAATTAAAACTGCAAACTTATAAGTTATTAAGACTCCAATTTTTCAAACCTTTGTGTGTTTTTTTTTTGCTTTGAAAATAATTTCAGCTTGTATAATACTTTTCTTAATTACTTTACTTTCTTATCTTTTATTTTTTGTTTACAAAAGTATTAAATGTAAAAAAAACAGTTAAAGTGTGTGTTATAATTTTTTACATAACAACATAATATAATAGATTCATTCATTTTTAATCAGCATTCCTTTTATGTAACATTAAATAAGAAATAAATGAGCTAAACTAAAATAAAATGACTTAGAGCTTCTGCTTTTATTAGTATTTTAGTTATAAATTTAAATATGTTTACATGAGACCATTCTTAATTTATATCTCTTTTCAGGTGTTTTGTCAAATGATTAAAAATAATATTAAAATCAAACTGTCAGATTTAAAGAATATTTTACAAACTGAATATGATGAATTAGTTTTTATTAAAAAAAAAATATCATCTGCAGCTGATTTTTCAACTGAAAAAGATATAGCAAAGGTTGGGTAATAATTTATTGCAAATATTAACTAAACGTCTACATGTTATATATTTAAGTATTTTCCAGACTAACTAGTTTGATTAAAAATTTACTGGACTACTGTATACCATAGTATATATATTATACACTGACTGAAACTATTTTTGTATATTTGCATATATTAATTTACTAATACAATAGGTAAATATAAGAGGGAAAGAGAGATAATATTTATTGGCAAAAAAAAAAAAAATACAAGAACAGTGATTACATCACATATTACACAATAATGGCAAAATACAAAAATTAAATAAATATAGATTGTTGGTCCAATTCACTGATATTGTATATAATATTAAATTAGTTTATTATTGTGTATTTTTACATTAAATTCAACATTATTTTCAATTATATATGAAATATAATAAAAATTAGTATAGAGAGAAAAAATGTGTACCACTATGTTTCCCATAATTTTTCTACAATTTGCGTGAGGACCACTGTTAAACTACTAACAATTTTAAGTATGATTAACTCTAAAATGATTATATTTGAATACGGTATCTTTTAATTGTTAAGTATTGTAAGCTTACCAACTATTATAAAATACTGTTTATCCCTATTTAATATTGTCTTCAATTGTTTTTGGTAGAGTTAGTTTTACCCTAGACTTAAACATTTTAAACATTATTTTGATTTACGGCATATGCTCCCAAATATTCACTGTTGTGATAAAATTTTATTAGAATTTATTTCATGCTTACTAAACTTTCATTGACTTCTACAATTATGTTTGGGCCTCAATTTTCATCCCATTTAAGTTATTCTCCATTTACACAACACAAACTTATCTTTAAAAAGCAATTCAAATCAATAACAGTTTTATTCCATAATTTATTTAAATTTTTTTGACATCACTTAATTGATGATTATTTTTCACACCATGCACAAATAAAGCAAATAGCTGTTGTAAATGGTATACAGCTTTTTTCAAACCAATTATCTTTTCAATGACATGTTTTTACTTTTCACTTCCAAAATGCAAATTTTCCCAAAGTATAACTTAGCGTAATAATTATTTAATCATAATCGAACAAGTAGGAAGGCTTCTCTCGCTTAAAGCTTTTGCATTGATCTTAGTTAAATTTTTGGTAATAGCCACAATTTTATATTAATAACGAATTAACCAAATCTCCACGGTTCAGAAGACAGACAGTACAAAAATTGCAAACAAACCACGTATACTGCGTACTAAAAGTTCTTTTATCAACTTATTAATGAATGAAGTCCATAGTATATTATTAGACATATGTTATGTTAGATAATTCACTATAAATTACAATATCCTATAATCTTAACAAACCATATTGTTATATTGTTACTGAAATCTTTAATAATTAAATATTTCCTTATTTCAAATTCAGTAAACATGTGCATCTTAATATTTTTTATTATTTAATTTGTAAATTAATTTATAAAAAATTTACAAAAATAGTGGTTGTCCAAATAATATGTATAAATGTGTTTAATATGGTAATCCGGTAAATTATTGATCAATCTAAGTAGTCTGCATAATACAGAAGTACCCATTTGTATTTCTAGTTAAATAAATTAATGGTGCATACTTGTAGCAACTCTATTGAGTTAACGTATTCTTAAATTATAGATGAATGAATTTGAAATTAGAAATTATCTTTTTCTACAGGATGAATATTATGCATATATAAGGTCTACACTTGGTTTGATTATTATAACCAGTATGGCATTATTTCAAAATGATAATAATGAAGATCCGTTAGTAGGTGAATTAATGAAAGTTATAGTAGAGATAAATAGACTTGAACTTAAAACAAATAAAGGCCTAACATTACTTCACTTGTCTCTTAATTATGACACACACATTGACAATATTTTCACAACAGGAATTTGCTGGTAAGATAATTTCATATAAGTAAATACAATAACAGAAAAAATTAATTTGAATTTACCTATATATTTGTTACAATTACCCCTGTAATCCAGATTTTACTTTTATTCTTTAATCGAAACACGTATATTTTTTATGTGAAGTATTATTTTCTGTGTTGAGTTTTGCAATAGAAAAACTACTCATTTTTTTATTTTGTATTGCAGCTTTCCAAACTTTCTTGCAATGAAATTATTAGTTCATTGTGGAGCAAACGTAGATGAAATGGACAATGAAAATAATACCGCCCTCCATTACATTGGTAAATTCATAACAGATTTGTAAGTATTTGTATTATTATTTTGAGAACACCTTTCAAGATTAATAATTGTGATTTTCATTTTACAATATTCGTATTTTAAGCCCTCACATACCACACGACACTGATTTCTTAGACACAAGAAAAATGGTTTTGGAATTGTTGAATGCTGGTGCTCATACAGATTTTGTAAACAAATCAGGGGATTGTCCTTATACGGGATATCTGTCGAGTAATTATTTGATTCTATTTAAGTTAATTTTATTTTATTATGAATATTTCATTTTTGTTCTAGGCGTATTTCATTTAACAAACAATACGCCAAGGAGTTTGAAATGTTTATCTGCCTGTGCGGTCAAAAACAAACTACCAAAATACTACTACCGAGATAAATTGCCCAAAATATTATTAAAATTCACTTTTTTACATTAAGTGATAGTCAGTAAAATATTTAGACAAAAAAATGTATTACCTTTGATATGATATATTAGAGTAAATAATTAAGTTGTCATTTTATGCAGGTCAGCTGTAAGCAAAGCAATAAATGCTTACACAAGAATATTGAAAAGACTTCAACATAATACATTTTTATTATGGTTTATCTATCCTACATGTACATATTTTTATTTTTTATAAACTTTTTATTTCTTAATATTTTTATGAAAACATAAATGTACAACCAGTTTTTTACTTTGAACATTATTGGTTGATTTCTTATGAATATTAAAAACTGCATGACATAATTTACTGATTTCATTAAAACAAAAGCAACATGTATTATATAGCATAGTTATTTAATCTTGTAATTATATGTATATTATGTATAATTAATAGAAATCTAGGATAAATATTGTTGAAAAAAATTGTTAAATACTCGTAGTTTAAATTTATATTCTATGTATTGTTTACATATTTTTATAAGGGAGATTGTCCTAACCTCTTCATTTACTTAATACTGCCAACAACAAGAATAAAACTTCATTAATATTTAGCATTTACTATTTACCTACCTTATGGTTTTATTTATTTGAAGTAAATTCTTAAGCTTACATTCTGATATGAAATGAAAAGATCATTGATTATTAATTATTAGGGCTAGGAACTATATGCCCTTAAAACCTTAAAATATGCATTTACCTATGCCCTAAAAAATGACTGAATATTCAATATACCCTTAGAATATGCCATAAAAATATTTGTATTGGTAATAATGTCAATTTATGTTATAAAAACAGTACAAATATAAAAATTAAATCTATGTAAATCAATATTTATATCTTCATACTTTGTATATTTTTAAACCAGCTTAAAAAATTAAATAAAAATTCCATTTATTTTTCTATACTTGTACTGAGTATCATTGTACAGCAATTAGTAAATATCTATAATATAGCTTCCTAATTAAAATAAAATATAAATACAACACAATTTTTAAAACCAACTATTTATTAGGTATTTTTTTATTTTTTCTATTATTCTAGAACTTTTAGGATTGATCTAAAATCAAGACCTTTTGATTATTTCAAAATGTATAAATGATTAAGATTTTCTTAATATCTAAACCTGTATGCTTGGAATTATTATCATTTATTACCATGGTAACTTTATCAACATTAGGAATCAATTTATACAGGCCATAAATGATTTGTAAATAACATAAATTATCTTGAATTATTGTATTATTTAAAGGAAATGTTTAGTAATAGAATGGTTAAAGCAATATAATAGGTACCTATGTGTTTCGACTTCACCTGTCGATGGTTTTATTAGATTGAGTAGTTAGTAGAAGTAGTTGTCAGATTATAAAACACTATTCTGCGTTGCTAATTATTTTCTCCATTAGAATATGATTTTTAAATTGCCAATTTCAAAAACTTTTTACCACGCAACAGTTTTTGCTGTAGTTCTATGTTGTGCTAGTATGTTATCACATAAACTTGATGAACTTACTCGTGACATATATTATTATGATAATAATAACGTGTTTAATACATCAAATCGTATTAAATATTAAAATCAAAAATCGTGATAATAAAACATAATAAATAATAATAATATGCAATGTACAATATTTATAAATATCAACATCTAAACAACGATTATAGTATTGTCATTCGTTATAAATTATAATTTACAGGCATGACACGCCGAAAGTCTTAAGTAGGCTTGTAAAACCATAATATGCTTCTCAGTTTTGATAAAATATAACATTTATGGATTGTATTACTATAGGTAGTAATTATTATTATAGCCATTGCAAACCTGACAGTATAAACTCTTCTGCTTTCTACGACAGTAATAAATGTCAATGTCAGTTACGGCGCTTATTTTGTTTATAAATACTTAGCAAAAATACCGTATACTAATCATACTAAGCAAAATTACTGTTTAATGTGATCAGTTACTGGCTACTACCTTTTGCTTAATATACCTATATGTTTGATACTGCCTTTTTGCTTAGTATCCCTTGTACATTTTAAAAATACTTGTATGCGTCATCACGTTTATTATAAAATCTATTACAAATACGGCATTTTTGCTAAGGTTAACAAAAATACTCATTAAAATAACTAATATTTTGATATAATAAACTCATTTTACACATTTTGACACTTACTGCCTTTTGGCTAAGGAGGGCAGTAATTATTATACTATTACTCTTTAACCATCACCTGCATACTACACATGCATGTGCCTATTATTATGACTAGATACATTGGCGTAACTGGGGGGGGGGGGCAAAACCCCCTGACGTCCCCCTTCATAATTCCTATACTCCCACCAACGGTAGCTACATTAATACATTTTAATTTAAAATATCATCGTTTTATTTTTTTATTTCAACTTTTTAATATAATTTGTATGTGATGAGTCTGTGTAGTTGTCAATGAAGTAGACGAAAAAATAGTCCTCACCCAGAAGAATACTCGCGATTTTATTCGGGCTTGAGAAAATTTAAGCATAAACAATAAAAAACTGAAATGATGATCCTGAAACGTTATAAAATTAATATTATGTTTTTGTTATTTGTTAAGGACCGTTTATTGGTAGTATGGTTCCCAAAATCTATAAAATAGAGATGATAAATATTATTCTATGGCGTAAACGAAATAATCACCAATGATTAATGAATTAAAACTTAAAAAAATCTTTTTTTTTTGTTTACCGGGATAAGTTTCTTTATTATTATTCAAGCATTCAGGTAAAATTGTTTCAGATCGTAGTTCTTAGGCACTCATATTGCATTATGTGGGCAATATCCAGAGGTGTGATTATTTCCATAATATTTCCACGTTGACTTCCAATGTCGAATGTTTCATATGTCAAATGACGTTACAAATTACAATAACTGACTTAATAATTTTCATAATACAAATACTGGAAAAACACTATAGTACCTATTACATTGATATTATATTTCTTGACAGTTGAAATGAAAATGAAATGGACTTAATGCAACAACCAGACATTGTAAGAACAATTTCTTTCAAAAAATGTTATTATTCCGGCCTCCGATAAAAACACCATATAAGTCAGTAAGCAATGATAGAGCATTTATAATAATATAATATTATAATATAGATCATAAATAGATTGATAAGTTAGTATATTTTATTAATTGTAGGTACTTGCGTAGTTGCGTAGTTGCGTATAATTTGATTTTTTTAATTTCATTTAATATAAAGGTCTCGTAGACTTCCATGGCTGATGAGGCAAATTTTAAAATTTTAGTTTTTACATACAGCTGCAATGTTGTATCTATAATACGTATACCTACAAAATATTTGTGACTCTTTACTCTTATTTTATTACAATAATTTAAGTACTTGTAACTTTTTATGTAAATATGTAAACATCTGAAATTTAGAAAAGCCCTGATGCTTACTATGAAGTATGTCAACTGCCAAGTTAAATTAATGCTAGTAGGTAGTATAGGTACATAAAGCAAACTATTAATGTTTTTTTTTTAAACTGAAATTAGGTAATTATCCATTAAAATTGGGTAGGTATGAAAAAAAATACTATTAAATTATTATTATTTAAAAATGTTTATTTTATTGCAAGTAGGTAATTAATGAAAAAGTGTAAGAATAATAGATAATAAAATACAAAAAAACTAAAAAGCTCTCCTCAAAGTTCCATACGCCTATCTACTGGTTATGTTTATAATTAGTAAGTATTTCGAAAGTTACAATCATATCATCAATATTGATATTGTAGGCAGATTCATGCTCAATACTTATAGCTAACAAAGCATCCAAGCGGTCTTGAAGCATTGCGCTTCTATGTTTGGTTTTGATGAAACTCAATTTCGAAAAATGTCTTTCACATGAACAATTTGTAACTGGGATAGATGCAAATTCTTTTACAACTCGATATATACTTTTAAGTATGGTATCTCTTCCAGAATAAGCCAACCGCTTTATACAATTTTCCAATTAGTCGCTGCAGAGATAGGCCCTCCCCCCCCCCCCCCCAGTATACAGTCCTTCGTATTGGTGGTACCTATGTGGTGATCGCGCATGTTAAAAATAATATCGGATTTTCACAGTCAGTAGACAGAAAACTGGTATGTTAAAGTCGGGATAGATATTGTACTTGGTGTACAAGACTTATCGTCGAGTGTTACAACTTCCTGTTTCTATATTATATAACATTATATTATAGACGAATCATTCGACATCTCAAATCCTTATGTCCATAGGTCGGAGGTAGTATATATAGGTACAGCAAAACGGTCTACGAGTCAATAAACAGGGTTAGGGTGTGACATATATTTAATACCTGAGAGGATTGGCACTTTGCACTCTACGCATAAAAGGAATATAGGTAATATCGAGTAAGAAACTATATCTGTAAACACGCGGCGCCAACTGCATCACTGCGATTCGTTTCAGACTTTCAACTCGGCTCGAGCGTATAATGAAATCCTTAAAGCTGTCCAACGGCATATTTCTGTCATCCTTGTCAGATTTCTCATGCTCTCGAATGAATCGACAAGTCGTCGGTGATAAGACTGCGATAAGACGTAGGTAATCGAAAAAGACCGTCATCACGTGCGCCGCATATTATCATTTCATAATATAATAAAAATATATTGTCTTGTCTCACTTATTAGTTATTTATAATACCTATAAATTATAATAACATGATATGATATACTAAAATAATATGTTGTACAGAAATTGACCTACCACACGCGTTATGCGATTGTGCGGTGTTTTATTTCGTAACTGTTTTCATTTACTCTGCGGCGTACGATGTATGATCACCGCCAAGAAAAGTTGAAATAATGTTTTTATTATTATTATTATTGGTAAAAGACCCTAGGCTACACGGGCCGTTAGGTTGGCAAATAATTTAATCAATTACATATTATACTTATATGTATTGTTGTCCACTTCTTCAAAATGGTTTTAAATCTTGCAGGTTTCAAGTTGGGCGGATTATAATAATAATATTATTATTATTATATTGTATGCAGAAATCGATTTAAGACGTACGAACCACGACCTTTATTTACACGTGACTACCGAATAGCTACTGCATACAGCTGTCTATTTCTATATATATAGGTACCTCTTTTTCAATCGTATCACGGTGTGCGCGTGCGTGTAATTTTCGACTCCTCTCGCACGCGCACACACAAACTCACTTTCAGAGCTGTGTAGGTTGTATAATATATACTTAGTCTGCTGTGTGTGTGTGTGTGTGTGTGCAGTCCATGTATTTGTGTAAGGCGACTTGACAAGCTGTGATTTATTGTACAAACCCTCTGGAGAGCTCTCTCTCTCTCTCTTTCTCACTCCGTTCTTACATATAATACGCTCACGCGTATGTGTGCTTGCGTAGATATTCGAAAACCTTTGTGGGTGTTGAGGAGAATGGGTGTAGGGGGAGGAGGAAATAAATAAAAAATTACCACTAGGTATATTCTAGCACTAATGGCTATCCGCGGTCGCGTATATGTACTTACGTGCAAATATGATATTCTAATAACCGTCCGACC